GCAGCATGTTTTAGGTTTTAACGACTGTTTTAAAATATTTACGTTCTGTTTTAAGACTCAGTTTTGGTTTTAATTAAGTTTAAGTTTTAAAATTGAATTTAATACAGTCGTTAAAAATTAAAACATGATCCCCTGATCCCATCAAAATGGCGCTTTCGCCCTTTCTACAAAACACCGACAAATTTACTATACTATATCCCTTATGCCTTGTAAATTGTTAAACGTACGTGCTATTCGCTCTAAACCTCTAAAAGATCCGTGTTCAATGCAATGTTATCATTTAAATGTCATTCGCAAATAGCGTCACAGAGATCGCTGGACTTCTTCAACTGGTATCCTGTCTATCTGGTCTAGAAACTTGACTCCGAGTTTACTTGTTTAACCACTATGTTCTTGCGAATACTAAATGCAGCTCGCATTATCTCAAAATAGGCAAGTAATGAAAATGTCGTGCAGGTATTACTGATTTATTCAAATATTGTAAATAGAACCTATACCTATAAGCTTATGGTGCAGCTATTAAAAGGATTCCCTAGTTAATGCATTATCAAAAAATATTATAGGACTTAAATACGACGTTATATGTATAATATAAAAAACGAAGGCAGTAATCGTTTTCGATGCGGAAATTACAAACACGTGAAGTTTCGCTTGTTGTTTATTAAAAAAAAGAAAAAGAAAAATATTAATGTAAACAACTTGACATTATAATAAAAAGAATCAACTAACAAAAACAATACTTTTGATATAAACTCTCTCGTTATCACCGAACGAAATAACTAAATTATTAACGAAATTAATAATAATGCCCCACCTTTGGGTAGGTGTACTTTAAGGTTTAATAACTTTACCTGAATGCAAATACAGAAGATATCTTACCCTTAACATTATAATAAAGCCACATGATAGTCATAAAAATAATACACACTACATGAAACAAATTATGTATGTGTATAAACTCTGTCTGTAAGCAAAAAAAAAATATCGACTTGTTCCGTTCTCGATAATAAAATAAAATTAACTATTTTTGTCTATTAATAACTGTATCGAGCCCGAAAATTATGATATCAAATTATTCATGTGTAACATACACACACAACAAAATACGCGATTACTTTGTGAACCGATTTTTATGATTGTGATTCTTTTTTTGGTTGGAAATTTATAGATTCCAATAAAACTTGGCAAAGAGATGTGATTCCAATAAAAAAGCCAATAAGCAATCTTTTGAGGACACTTTTTTTTACAAAAAGTTACAATTATTGTACGTACATGGAGTGGAATTTCTTGCCTGCAGACTAATAAATGAATAGGACAGGCCAACAATACAAGTATCAACTTCTATAAAACACGCAAAATAGGCGCCTTGAGTTGCGGACACTAGCCCGTTACACCAAGTACCAAGTACCAACTTCTATAAAATTCGAATAACCTCCATATAGGTCATAAATTTAATAACACATATTTACTTTCCTTATTGAAAAAATATTATAAAGTATTTTGCGTTGAAAATATTCACATGGTAATAAATTCGCAGAAATTTTCAAACGGATACATATATTAGCAACCGGATTTGAAACGAAGAAACCCATCTAGAGTACATACGTAAAGCACCATAAATAATTGAGTACAATTTTACCGTGGTTACTACAACGGCTGTTAGTCACCTTTACTGTGGAATTGTGTTGTTCAACAGGTGAATATAATTATGTAAATTTAATCGAAATTGGTGAAACCGAAAAGGTATGAAATCACTATGTCTGTTATCTTTTGTCTGCTCGTCTGTTACAGCCGATTTTAGCATAGCAAAATTTCGGCGCCTTTACTGACGTAAAACTTATAACAACAAAGCAAGAAAATTGATTTCGTCAAACAAAAAACGGCTTATAGTACTTAAAAAAACATAAGACGTGAATCACTCGAATTCTATGAACTTCGTGCAATGCCACCAAGATTTTTCCTTGTAATAATAATAATTTATTTTTCGGACAACTTAAATCCACATTTCATTAGTAACAGACTTATAAACTATGTCAGTAGGTCAAAGTCAATGCAGTAGGTACATTATTTTAAACTTAGATCAAGTGAAATGCATGAGATTTTACTCTAATGAGAGGTTCCTTCATTTTTTCAGCATAATTTTCAGGATGCTGTTTCTACTGTTACGTAGCCTCTTTAAAAGAATGCGATTTTCTTCCGTAACACTACTAGTCTACTAGAGTAGCGGAAAAGTTTAATTCACTAATGACAAGTTTTTTCTCAAGTCTTATTCATCTCAGTCGTCTCACCGAACTCAAATTGTTGTTCGTCAGGATTTTAAATGAGGAGGTGGTGTCGCCACAGTTGAATAACGATTACGTACCTATATTTAAGGACTAAATGCGAGTGTGGATAAAACAATGATGTCATATAGCCAGTAAGGCCTTAACCAGCATAAGAATTGTCAAGTGCTAAAGTGAATATTGCCATAGGATTACTTTAAAATACCCGAAACCTTCTAAACAAAATTCGTTTATTTTTTAATTTTACTCAAACTGAAATAGTATTTCTTTCATTTGTAAATAAACTACACTTGAAATCGCCATATTGATTAAACTCTACTGCTCATTCGTAAAGTAGATAAACATTTGCACACACAATATTTATTATTAGCTAAACGTGTCACTACAGTCAGTCACGGGTCACTACCTTAGTAAAAGTGCTATTATTTTTTAGTGCCAGACAACCATACCAATTGCCTGGTATCAAATTAGAATATCAGAACACTGGAATTTACTCTGGAGCACTGCCCAGAACACCCAAACCAGAACCAATTTAGAAAAGTTCATTTCCGGGTATCGAACCAGGGCGACCACATCCAGGGTCCACAATGTAAAACGTTATGTAAATGTTAAGCTACTGAAGTCGTCACAACATATATATTAACATACATGGCAACTAATACCTATGTACAAAGGTAACAATTATTACTGAAAAATAAAATACGACTCAAGTAAATTTGTAAATTAAAATTTTTCATTCGTTGTCCGGGCGTTGCCAATTAATAGATTCCTCAAATCTAAGGTGAAACCACTCAGCAGGCACGTGACCTTAACAACAGCAAGCCAATGGCACAAGCACCTTGACTCCTGATAGAATTTATTGCATTGTGACAAGTCGATTCGTATTTGCATACACATTTCGATATATTTGTTTATGGCGACTGCGTGATATGCATACAAGGTTGCAATATTTTTCTTGAAAAGATGAAGTTTGTTTTGGTAAAGTAGTTGTTGAACTCTGTAGTACATTCTTTCGATTAATATTACACCAACTTAGTGCCCAGTACCTCTATATTCTTACCTTATATTCTTTGTAAAATGGAGAACGAAGTTAATTATAAATTTGTCTATAATCATACCTTTAATTGCACGTTTTAACTTACCACTATATAGTTTCCGCGGGCATCAAGAAGCTCTTGGCGGGAATCTATCTAGAAACTTGATCAGAGACTAACGTTACCATATGTCTTTATACAAGACACGTGTGACATTAATTTCAAAAAAGGCGGGAAGGCGAAAAATATTTTGCCAGCCCACCAAACTAGACAAGTTTAGTTTTTTTTAATATTTGATCAACATTTTTAGTCCTTTTTTATTTAATTTTAATCATTAAATTTTTCGTGTTTTTTTTTTAATAGTAATAAATTGACTGGCGTCCCGCTCTTAGGAAAAAATAATGGTCACGTTACCAGAGACTATTATGTGTTAGTACTATTAGTATTATGTGACTCGGATATATATTCCATTGTTGTTAATGTACTCGCAATGTATTAATTCCACGATTCCATTTGTTTGCATCAATTGTATTTTACATATTTCTATTACCATTACAATTTTGTAATTGTAATGTTTTGTTAGGTACTGTCCACTTAGCCTTAAGATTAATTATCGCGTTTGGATATTAATTTATAAGCAGTACGTAATATAATTGTAAATTAAATAAACTGCTTGCTCATTACATTTGTAAACTACTTTCAAACCAGTTTAACAAATTAAGTACTTTTTTTTATAATATCAAGTGACGGGACGAACAAATCGTGCGCCTGATGGTAAGGTACATGCCTATTCATAACGGTTGCAGCGGCTCTCAGAGCAAAATCGCAAAGATCTGAGGGGCACTGCCACTGCGCCCGTAACACTGAGACATAAGTTGACAAGTCCCATATGCCTTTAATTTCACCAGCACCCTTATCCTTCAAAACAGAAACACAGTAATGCTGACATTACTGCTTGGCAGCAGAAATAGGTAAGGTGGTAGTACTACCCTGGATAAACTCTTTCACAAGAAGCTCTACTGCTACTAAATTAAAAGAAACTAAAACTACTCGACCAAGTTATTTAACTTTTGATAATGGTCGGCTATTACTTATTTGACAGTAACTGCTTCAAACGAATGTCGGACGAAGAACGATGTAGACCCCCGTGCTGCGTTTTATGCCAGATAGGGCGATAAAAGCCAAAAAAAAGAATACAAAAGATTTGTAACAAAGAGAGAAATTTGTAATGTCGGCTATCTCGATCTGTAGCGCAGATGGCACTGCCGAATAGTCTAATAACGTCACGTTGCAAATTTATGTCCGGCCAGGTTGTCCGTTTTTGTCACGTGACGTGAACACCTTGTATTAATAATTTATAAATTACTTTACTTGTTCGTTCGTACTTCTTAACCAAAATGCGACCAAAACTAATATTTGATGGGTCTCATTTGATATCACAACATTGTGCAATTTAGCTGCCTAAGTGGCCGAACGGTTACCATGCCGGACTACCACGCAGAGGTCCCAGGTTCGATTCCCGGGCCGGAAGAAATATTTGTATGGCCTACATTTTGGGTGTAATTTGTGGTTATCTATGTATGTGTCCATGGCACCCGCGACACAGGGTTTCCCTAGTGCGGGGCTATGTTGAGTGCGTGCGTAAAAAAAATGTTATTTACCTTGAAATTTATTTTTTTTTCAGCCGAATTGCCTAACGCAAACAGCCAGCCTGTAACTGAAGTATGCCTGGGCTGTCTCTGCCAGGCCGTTTCCGGCTGCAAGCAAGGCCAAGGTTGTGAAGGAGACCACTGCGGTTTGTTCCACATCACCTGGGCCTATTGGGCAGATGCTGGCAAACCGACGGTGCGCGGCCAGAATCCTGATCAGCCTGATGGTAAGAACATTCATTTCGCTGAGATTTTCATACATTCATGTAAGCCTACTTTGTATGACTTGGTGAGGTTTTAGTACAGTATTATATTGTTTTTAAATCATTGACTTACAAATAAATGGACGACGGGTCTAATACAAAAACCACGAAAAAAATGTCCCAAGTCAACCTATTCGAAATTTAAATTGTAATGTCATCGCAGTATCGCGCTGTCAGTAGAACAAATGAAGACTAAAGCGGAGTTTGGCGCTCTGTATACGATTTTAGCGCCTTATAAGTCCGGACACTTTTTAGCGCGGACCCGACGTCCATATAATTGTAAGTCAATGTTTTAAATAGTTATTTTTTGCCAAATGGTTGCCTTTGTACCTGTTGTGTAACATTTTGAGATATTATCTAATAAAATAATTTTAATTTCAATAATTTCACAAATTTAGTGACGCGTTTTTCAGTTCAGTAGCGAGTACCATAGACAATAGATTTTTGTTTCAGAATTTAAAAGAGCGCCTTTGTAACATGCTAAGAAATTGTTGTAAGTAACAGATTAAAGTACCTGCAGGAGTAGAAAAATATTTTTTCGGAATTTTTTTGCATCAAAATTGTGGCGCCAAATATAGTACTGACTTTATTACGCGTGCATATTTATGATTAGTACTGCTCGAATATTATACCCATATAGCGAACCAGTATTCAAATTAATGACCTAACGATTACGTAATGGAATCTAAATTTTAAATAGTCATTGTCTCATATTATAATATATACTATGTATTTAGCATGTCTTCTAACTTTTGTTGTAAGTTACCTACTCATATTGAATACAAGAGCTGCCTAGTTGGCGGAAGATTGTAAGAGGAAGGAGGACGATTGTTAAGATCGGTAACGAAAGTCGCAACTCGGTTTGCTAATTAAAGATCCTCTGATTTATTTTAGAACTTATTGATACAAAATAAGCCTTCCTAAGTAATCTAAGTACCTTTTTTATGATGACAACTGATGGGACGAACAAGTGGTGCGCCTGATAACAAGCGACACCCTTGTCCGTAGCAGTTGCAGTGCCACTCTAAGCTTGCAAAAGCTTCTAAGCAAATGGAAAAGATTTGACAGGTATTGCCACTGCGCCGGTCACCCTGAGACATAAGTTGACAAGTCTCATGTGCCTGTAATTTTACCAGCACCCTTTCCCTTCAAAATCGGAACACATTAATGCTCATATTAAGGGTGCGTACAGATCTGGCGAATGTGAATGTGAACGCGCGCTACTTGCGTGCATTTAAATGCATGTTGTTATATGTGGCGCGCGAACTGTACGCGAACAGGTCGCGCAACTTGCTCGTGTGCAGCTCGCAAGCCTGTCGCAAACATTCGCCAGGTCTGTATGCACCATAAAGTTTTGGCGGCAGAAATATGTAAGGTGGCACTTACTTACTTAGTTACGTACTTCTCTGGACGAACTCTTTCACAAGGAGGTCTATTTTTACTAGATTGCTAATAATATTTTTTTGAGGTTTTTCCATCCATAGACTTCGGTATTGAATAAGGCATTTTCGGATCGGAATTCATCTCGTACAGCCGAAACGAAACGCACGCCTTTTTCGCTCTTATGAATGAACCTTTTTTGGCCGTTTCAAGCGTTCAAGATTTCTTGTCGATAAATGTAGTGATTCCCTTAGAACCTGTTAATGACTACTATAGATAATAAGTCTAAAATAAATAAAGTCATAAAATTACCCAGAGTCTACAATATTGTCTGTCATCTTATTTTGTCCACTGTTTTATGTTGCGCGTGTTTATAAAATAGGAAACTCCGTGAAAATGTGATTTAAATGTAACAATTTGCTGTTTATTTCGTTGCAGCGTATCCTACCTGCGCGAACGACCCGTACTGCGCGGCGCAAACTGTCCAAGGCTACATGCGGAGATACGGACAGGTGAGCACGCTACATTACTTCCTTGTTATAAAAAAAATATTACTAAAAACAACAAACATCAACAAAACTTATTGCTGCAATTAAACTATTGTTTTTTTTGTAAGTCGAAGGAAGAAAGAAAGGAAGGACACATTCCTATCGCTTGCCGTAACAGTGGAAAAACTTAGACCATAACCAATCAAATTTTAATGCTGACATTACTACTTGGCGGCAGAAATAAGTAATTAGTAAGCGACACTTCCCTGGACGAGCTCTTTCACAAAGAGCTACTAAATTGTAATGACGGTTCAGTATGAAAAAAATATGCTGTCTGTATTATATGTACATTTCGTGAAATCAGAAAAGAAAGGGCTTGTTTTCACGAAACGTAAGATAGTAAGTACCTAGGCAAGGGGCTCAAAATAGTATTCTTAGCTACAGGTTTCTCGAACTGTAATATATTTGTTATTATTATTGCTACAAAGAACGATCAAAAACGCAAAATTGTTGCGATATGGGTGGATACGAGCCAGTATCTGTTTGCCAAACCGGGGCTAACTGGTCTCCTAGCTCTATTGAGCTACGGAACGAATCAGCAGACCTCACAAATTTCTCTACGTGCTTGTTGCTAATCTTGCCGTAGCGTCATATGTGAGAAACCTTTGAACGTTTATTCGTCACTCAGCCAGGACCGTCGAAGGAATTTTTCGTTGTTCTTATTCGATTTTTGTATGAGTATTAATATTCAAACTAGTGATATTCATTGAAATAAATACTTATTGTAATTCATTTGTTATTATTGTTTGTTATTATCCATAGATCTGAACTGATCTTCGGATCGAGCCTTCAGATCTTACGAATTTCTGCTTGTTGCAGATCTTCGTATTGGGTTTTTAACGGTTTTCTTTGCCACGCCACCTGTGAGAACTTATGAAAGTTTCTTCACTCGGCCAGGAATCTTTACAGCTACCACAAGACTGACAGAGATGTCACTATACTAAATGCAATTTTATTTTTATTAGATATCATGCTTTTTTTACTACGTAGCTGCACGCTACGTCTGACCCTAGTAAGGTTCCAACCGGATCGAAGGATTTTTTCTTTATGTTTCTTCTTTGTTTGAATCATAATACCAAAATAGTTTTATTTTTAATTACAATAACAAAACTGTTTTCTGAATATTATATTATATTATATTATATTATATTATATTATATTATATTATATTATTATTATACTCTCGTTGTAAAATAATTACTAATTACACATAATACAAAACAAAGTACAATGCAACACTTCAGAGGTGAGGTGAGAGTATTATTCAGTCTATACTATTATGTATTGCCGCCTTGAATTTAAAGTAAATGTACCCTACCTATTCCGATTGGACGACCTCGATGGACCAGCGATTTGCGCTGTGAGCGTTGGATGTGGAGGTCCCGGATTCGATTCGCGAACCAATTTGGAATATAATTTTTTTTAATCGGTAATTGATGTGGCTATTTGGCACATAATTATTATTATACCTTTCTCCATTTTACCCTTACGGCCGAAATCAAGTCTGAATCGAATATGATGATTATTATTAATAATAATGCATTTACATTATTATTATTATTATTCCGATCACCGTCTCTGACAGCGATTATTATTCATTTCAACCACAACCTACTCATGTTCATCATCGAGTATATAACCAGAAATAGAGGCGAAATGTCATTTAATTTGTTTGAAAACTATTCTGCCATATCATTACTGTGACAACTTGCGCTCCGATTGGCTAGCCCGAGTTCGAAACAATTGACGGGTGTCGTCAATGGGTGTCGTCAACTGTTTCACTTCAAATCGACCAGTTAACTTGAGCTTTGCTATAATGGACGAAAATTGCAAAATTAAATATTTGATATTTAATTACCGATGAAATGTTTTTCGTTTGTTTTGTAATTAGATGTTTTGCTGTTTTTCCCACACCACCGAATAGAATAACACGGCATTGTTAGAGATATTATCTTTATTACAATAAATACAGAATATTTTTTGGAATATACGGAGACGTACACACAGATCAGTAGTTGACCTGTCTATATTTCAGTGCAAACGAGAGTTGATATTTATAAGAGCTGTATCGCTAATGTGTTACCAGGAATATACGGCCCTTATTTCGTCTCTATTTCTGGTTATATACTCGATGATATTCATATATACTTTAAAATACACAGTTGTATAACAAAAAAATCCAATTTCAATCCGGCTAACCTTGTAATGTTTTATATAATCTTTGATCTTGTTTAGCTACGTAAACGTCTGTTATTCAAAGTTGTTTGTCGACGACAAAAGAAGAATATGCGCGTTAACGCTCTGCATTCGATTCGTATTCGTTCGGAATCCGAGAGTATACAAATCTAGAAAACTCGGGCCCACTTCGGATGTCGCTTGTGCACTAAGCCCGATTAGAACCCGATAAAATACGAATATCGCTTGTACACCTAGAGATAAAATGATCCCTGTGACACTTCGGACCGTGTTTTCTCGGATTCGGAACTGGGGGTCTACTCTCGATCTCCGTCCGAAACAATTACTGCCAAGTAAGCTATACTTGACCAAATGAAAAGACGCGTGATGCGAATGAAGCTTCATACTGGATACTTGTCTTTTTAATTTTGTCGAATATTACTTATTTGACAGTAATTGTTTCGAAGATCGAGAGTAGACCCCCTGATACATACAAAAATTTCATATATCGCACTGCTGTTACAATAGTGTTATAACTCAAAACACGTGAAATTCAATATTATGCCACTTCTGAACGTAAAATTTGTCTCTCTACACGTCAATAAAATTGTCATTAGAATATTGTAAGAAACCGTGAAAATATATCTACTTAACCCAGAATGAGACAAACGTTTTGTGAGCTATTGTGAAATTATTTTTTTACTTTTATTTTCAAACATACTTCTAATTGGCAAATAGGAGTTGTTTAGATGACTAATAAATTTTAACCTATACTTAAATTATAATAATCTTTCACGGGAACTGAGTAGTCCAGCAGCTGAAGTCCGGGTAGGACACAGTTGCTGAGAGTTTTTTACACATAGGACATTAATTAACTGCCTCCGTGGCCGAACGGTTATCATGCTGCACCAGCGTGATAACCACACAAAACATAATTAATGTCCTATGTGTAAAAAAACTCTCAGCAACTGTGCCCTTACTCAATAAATTGTACCGCCACCTTGTCCATCTCATCCGATGATCAGAAATAAATGTATAAGAATAAGATAATAAATAAATAAATGGGCCTTATCACTTTTAAATATCAACTCTCGTTTGCCCTGAAATTACAAATTACAAAACTGAAATAGTACACCGTCAACAACTGACCTGTGTATGTCTCCGTATATTCCAAAAATATTCTGTATTTATTGTAATAAAGATAATATATCTAACAATGGGGGCTCTTCCATTCGGTGGTGCGGAAAAAACAGCAAAACATCTAATTACAAACAAACGGAATCAAATTTCATCGGTAATTAAATATTAAATATGTAATTTTGCAATGCAAATGCAATTTTCGTCCATATAATTTACATCAAAGCTCAAGTTAAACTGGTCGTTTTGAAGTGAAACAATTGACGACACCGATCAAATGTTTCGAATTCGGGCTGGCCAATCGGAACGCAGTTTTCACAGTAATGATTTGGCAGAATAGTTTTCAAACAAATTAAATTACATTTCGTCTCTATTTCTGCTTATATACTCAATGTCAAAAATGTTGTTGAAAAGAACTCGGCATGGATATTAGTTAGTTTTTAATATTAGTTTAGATCAATAACGTTAACGTTTTTGTTTTAATTATTGTTGTTTTATTGAATGTCTGTAAAGTATACTGTTACGTTACACGTTTTTACTGAACATCAGACAACATTATTTTACTATCGACGAAAATATATCAGACTACAGATTTGATGAAATGTCGCCCTGTATTTAAGTTATAATTAATCGCAAAAGTAGGGAACAAAAGACGATTAGAATCATAACTTGGAAAAAATCACTCACCAAATTGTTAGGTAAGACCTTGAAATTTGTTGAATATTAACAACTATACCAATGTCGTTTTCGTGTCTTGTCACATAATGTGTAGGCGGCATTATTTCTGCGCTTTGTCTAAAAATATATGTGTACCTATACTTAGTAGATAGTCTATACTTCGATATTGTATTCAAAGCAAAAACGGTCACTGATTACTAATGAGTTCTGTTGTCATATTTAAATATAAAAAAAATCTTATCACACTTCAGTTTTGCAGAAAATAAATTGTCATGATGAATTTGAAGACTTTCGTGGTTATTCACTAAATGATTATCACTAAGTTACAGGTTTCTTCCAGCGGCATTATTTATTATTTTCATATTGTTTAGAAACAATTATACGCTCTATGGTTACGGGTTGACTGACCAGCGACAGCTCTTTCGCTGCAACCAGTATGCCCATACTGGCACTACTGACACGCACATTTGTTAACATTACTTGGCTTGAGCAGTCAGGAAAAATCTTTATATCCATGGCCATGCAATAATCTGGCTAAATACCAACTGACCACCTTGGATTCAGTCATCCAGGAAAAGCATGCCAAGAGGCTTATTATGTGACTCGGGTTTCAACCCTGTGTTATGGATCGATACCTCCAATCAACACTACGCCAACTTTATTGTCGTTTTCTGTTATTTTTGTAAACGGCCATATTTGTTTACTAATATTATGCTCTCACAATTTTGTGAAAAAAAAGTTCATTGGAGGTATTGGGATATTCCAGGAATGCCCCGAAGCGGTTCACTTCGCTTACGGAAAAAACCGTAACTCGCTCGACCAAAGACATTCCATCTACAGATAGATATCGATTATATGTTTCACTGCGATTTGCATTTCATCGTGTGACATCAAACATAATACACATAAATAAATAGCTTCCCCAGTTTTATTCGATTTGTAGTATTCTTTTTCCATCATCTAAGGTAGTATTAGATGTAGCTAGTATTTCTACATCTATAGTGTATATTTAATTTTTTTTCTAATAGGTATAGGTATGTTTCAGAAATTCTGCTTTATGAAAAATAGTTTATGAGTATAACAAATGCTTCATAACAAATGTGCCGTAAAATACTAGGACAAATGAAAACCGTTAGAAAACCAAGATCAATATTGCCAAAATTTTCAAGAGTCCGCAATATCCATTTATTTAGTACACAACCAGAGTATCCAATCCGGTACCTTTTGAGGTGCAATTGAATAGGCATCTTCTAGGCGAGCTCGTTCCATCGTGGACCCTATGTTTGCTCCAGGCCTAGGTAGTCGTCAAGAGCAAATCCATTTACTTAAAAAAACGTTGGGTAGCCGACTCATGACTGGGTCAGGGGCTGCGATCACCGCTCTGGGTTGTGGTTGGTTCAGCAGGTGTCTATATATGTATAGTGATACAGGGTAAGATTTCAATGTTCCTAACCTAAAAAAGGTGAGGAATATTTGACGAAGTCTCTTGCGCAAATTTCACTTTCTGTTCAGCACGAATTGACGAAGCCTTAGTGCCTTTGGATTGTAAATTTCACCATTTCATATTTAATATGTTACGTTTGAAATAAAGATTATTAATTTTTCCTCTGGCGACCATTGCCAGATATTCCAGAACTTGTAAGTTGTTCGTAATTTAAATTGTTTGATAATCGTGTTCTCCTAATTTACACTTTTCTCTCATTTTTTCAGGACTGTAATAAAGATGGGCAGGTGAACTGTTACGACTACATCGCGATACACAAATTAGGGGGCTACGGATGTTCCGGGTCTTTGCCACAGGAGTACGTAAATGTCTTTAATCAGTGCATTACTGCCGTGGCCGCAGCTCAACAGGGATAGATTAAAATTAAATAACAAATGTCATTATGAATGAATATCACCCAATTAAATTATTAGAAGCGCAGTTGGTATTATAAAAAACACAACTGTAGCGACGCGCGCGCCACTTTTGCAGTCACAATTAGTGAATTAAAATTACTGAAGCGCTATAGCCGCGCCGCTACAGCGTCTAATTTCAAAGTACCCTTTTAAAAACTGAGTAACAAAAATGTTAGATACGGCAGCGGGTGAATAGGTGGATTATACTACATTATTGTAAATTGAAATTTGGAATTTTTACTCTAAAAGTACTGGAAGGTACCCTAATTGTCACATAAAATTATTTACATGAAAACTGTTAATAAAGCAATCACACTCACATCTTAATATTTTATTTTAAATGCCTTCAAGATACATAATGTATTACATAATACATTTTTGAGCAATACAGTAAGCGCCCAGTTACACGAGGCAAAAGTTTCTGCACGGCCGCCGCGAGGCGACCGCCCAGTTACCACACCTTCATTTAACGACCGCGCTGCGATCGCGCGGTTGTATTATTCAGAGGAATTTAAATGTTGTTGCCTAGTAAATAGGATACAGATTCGCCATTAATGTACATGAAGGCGTGTTAACTTGGCGGCCGCGTGAACACTCTCTCGTTGTGTAATTGGGCGCTTATTGTCGCCGACCAAATGAAGACTTTGCGTATGAGAAAATAGTGCTTTTGTTGGATTTTTAGTTTCAAAAGTAGAATGCCACGCGGTATAATAAAGATAAGCTTAATTTGTTGGTAGGTTAATAATAGTAAAACATCTTTATAATAATTATAAAATGACATTACGACGAAATATAGTCTTTTAAATTTATAAATATTTAAATGTCTGACAATTTATTCTATTTTCAAAGTTTGTATGGCTCCATCATTACTGAAAATGATGATTGTTTTCTCTATCCAGTTAGATATATATGTAGAAATAAAGTGTAGCCAACCTATAGGGTTAAAACCCTTCGGTAGGTACAATCGGTCGACTTTCCCGATCGGTCCACTTTCACTATTCGTCTGCATTCCTGATCGATCCACTTGTCCAAATGGTCCACTTTCCGGATTCGTCTATTTCCCATTTCGTCTATTTCACGATCGAACCACTTTCACTATTCGTCTACTTTCCCGATCGGTCCACTTGTTTTACCCGATTCGCCCATTTCCCGTTTCGTCTACTTTCCCGATCGGTCCACTATAAGGATCCAAATAGTCCACCTTGCAAGTTAATAAAATTTTATGTAAGTCAATAAAATTTTACGAGAAAAAATTCATTTTACAAATTTTCAAAGGCAGTTTGTGATAATGATGATATTGATATTTTTGATAATGATGGCCGCTTTACGTTAACCATGATTTGAAAAAAACAATATCAAGTAGACAGTTTTTTTAACCGACTTCAAAAAAGGAGGAAGGTCACAATTCGACTGTATTTTTTTAATGTATGTTACGCGATAACTCAACTGCATTTGGAAACCGATTTTGATGAATCTTTTTTATTGGAAAGAGGGTACCTTAGTAGTGGTCCCATTTAAATTGAACGAAAATATTCCTCCGCTACGGGTGGCAAACTAGGGCGTCAATCCGGATGTCTGCACTTTTCGGTAACCGATGTCAATAAAACTTGGCAAATAGATGTAATTCCAGGAACTTTTGAGGTCGGTTTTTTTAGTACTCTGTATTTATCTATTACTATTACTATATATAGATTATCTGAGTAGACGCATCATTAAAGTAGATCTATCGGGAAAGTAGACCAAATGGGAAAGTAGACCAAAGAGGAAAGTAAACGAAATAGGAAAAACAAGTGGAGCGATCAGGAAAGTAGACGAATAGTGAAAGTGGACAGATCGACGAAGTAGACCAATTGTACCGAAGGGCTTTAAAATAATGCAATATAATACCTATTTATGATATTTCCATAAACTCAATTTTATTTATTAAAATTAAACTCGCGTAATGTTACATAAACTTTTTGTAGTGCATTATTATTATAATTTTACAGCTACAAAATCTTAAAAAGTCAATACGTAGTTTTAGGTACTTCAAAATAAAATTATTTCTAAGTTTGATTATTAGTAATAAAAAATAATATTATTATTCTAGACAAGTACACCTTAATGAAACAAAAATGTAAAAAAATCAACGATTGGATTTAAATTGAATTGAAACTGCATTATAATTTAATAATATTTTATAAACAAATAAAAAAATATATATTAATACATTATTGTATGAAATAAATAAATAAAATTGTTTGAATACGCTCATATGTAGTTTTATTTTCAACGAAATTCACAGTTACAGCAATGCCGCATTAAAATTTGCATTACCGAAATCGCCACACATTAAACATGTAGATTATTTAACTAACGCATCAAACATGACCGCAAATGATCAAAAAACTGTCCAAATCCTTGTTTTTTTAGATTGGGTCAGTTTCATTAGTTAACCAATTTATAGTGAGCACAATTTTCGAGCTTTAAACAGTGAAAACCCTTATTCCAATGAATCAGTGTTGTACGCTTAAGCTGTAGTACCGCCATGTTTAACATCAGTAGCATCTCAGAGTGTGTATATTGCAGACGCTAAATTTTATTATTAACTGCGTATTTATTATTGTAATATCTGTTTCTGGCGCAATGGCGTCAATCGTGATAACGTTTAGTGCCATATTGATGCTCGTCGCCGCAAGCGCCGTTAATGTCTGTTAGTATACATTATTTTTATCACCTATTTCTAACTACATATATAGGTAGTAAAAATTAAACCATTATGTTGTATCTGATGAAACATTTTCATAATCATTTCTATAACAAACTTATGTACATTTTTAAATGAAAAATAGTCGTACGCTTAACAATTAAATATTATTATTAGAATGACAAGTCAATACGTCGCACCCCTCATGGAAAAATGGCATAAGTGGAGTTACGTCAAACATGTTTATGTCTCCATTAGATACAGAAAAATATAGCCCACGCCCTCTCCAATTCTTGTAACTCTATCTACAAT